AAAAAAACCAATGATTGATAAAGGACATATAAAACACTTGTGTCACTTTAATTTATTTTTATTTTTTATTTATTTATCTGTAATTATTGCTTTTTTGCAATTTTTAATAAGATATTATTTACAAATTAGCTAGTTGTACTTTTTTTTTCGAAACGATAGGAATCATATATATTCACAACATAAAAACAAAACTAGAGAATAACTATTCAGCCGAATAAAACAGCCAACGACCAAATAAGCGAAATAGGTGACCCTAGTAGGGAAGACTACCACGTACAAGCCGAGCAGCCTAGAGTCAGCTACAACACATAACACAACAACTAAAAACATTCCCGACGAGAGAATCAAAAGTTCCCAACAGGAGAATACACCAAACTCACTTCCAACGAGAGAAAAAAAAAATAAAATAAAACACATCAATCAAAAGCTAGTTGTACCTTGATTTCACCTCTTTTGATCTTGTCAAGGGTTCCCACGTCCAATACAGGGGTTTTTCCTGAAAGGCTTTTCAATTCCATTGGGCCCACTTCAGGCCGGTTCAGCCCAAAGCGGGCCGTGTCGCCGAGCACCAAACGAGAAACTGCCAGCAAAAACCGATCGACAAGGCGAACCGGGAACCACTTGAGCAGCCACATGGACAGCCCGAAAGTCGAGCTCCCGATCATCTCTCTTGGCAGAATGTGAACCTAAAAAAATAAATTAAAATATAGATTAATATTAAAAATTATGAGTAAGACTGATATTTACACAAATTTAACGGTCAAATAATTATACATTTTTATTATATATACATACTTGCAAAGTGAAATATCACTATAAAAAGTAAAAAGAAATATATATATTTAAAAGTAGACATTTTACATAATAAATTTGTTGGAAAAAAAAATGTACAAGTCAAATCGTGTGATGATTAGGCCTCGTTATGCTTGAATTTGTGGAGAAGTATAGGGAAATTAAGAGGAGAATAAAAAGCATGAAAAGGCAAATACCTAAAATATGGAGGGCTAGAAAATAATTTAAGTAGAAAAAAAAATATTAGACGCATGGAAGAAAAAAGTCTAGTGCATTGATGAATGATGACTTGATCACATATTCATCATGTAATCTTCTTTAACACATAAAATGTGACCAAAAAAAATATAGAAAAACGCTGCATAACTTTTGAGACAGACAAAGAGACAACTGGACTTATAAGTTACAACCCTTTTTAGAAGTTGCATTTTGAAAAACAGTGAAAAAAAAAAGTTATGACGGATCAACTTGTCTAATTGAGTGACTGTAAATTCGAATAATAATAATAATAATAATAATAATAATAATAATAATAATAATAATAATACGAACCGTGTCCCGAACGACGAGTGACGGGCTCGAACCGTAGTTACATAGGTCCAAGCTCACCTCCATTCCCGAGTTCCCGCACCCGACCACACACACTCTCCTCCCCTCGTACGCCTCCCCGTTTCTATACACACTCGTGTGTACCACCTCGCCGGAAAACTCCTCTGCCCCCTCGATTTCTGGCACCACCACCTCTGCGTTCTCCCCCGTCGCCACCACGAGCCACCGGCAAACATATTCCACCTCCTCCTCCTCCTCCTCGTTCGTCGTCCTAACCCTCCAAAACTCCCCATCGAAATCTGCGCCCACCACACGACACCCGAAAATGGGCCGGAGCCCGAACCTATCCGCGTAGGCTTGGAGGTAGTCGACGAACTGTCGTTTGGTCGGGTAGGTCGGGTAATCCTCGGGGAACGGAGCCATCGGGAGCTCGCAAAACTGCTTCGGGAGGTGGAGTTTGAGTCGGTCGTAGGTTCGGAGCTGCCACAGTGAGGCGAGGCAGCTGTCCCGTTCCAGAATCAGGGACGGGACGCCCCTCGCCTGCAGACAAGCAGCCGACGCCAGGCCTGACGGCCCAGCGCCGACGATTACTGGACAGGGGACCCAGATGGACCTTTCTTTGGGCTGAGGCCCGATTTTCGAGTACGGGTCGTGGGCCAACTTGCCCTCAATCTCTCTAAGGTAGTTATTGTTGTTGTTGATGGTGCTCATGGTTTTTGATTAGTTGGTTGATTAATGATGTTTGAATATTTAAGGTTTAGTGAAGGATGATTTTTTGCTTGGAGATTGGAGAGAGAGAGATGTGATTGTGTGAAATTGTCAAGTGGGAGTGATTGGAGTGAGGTGTATTTATAGAGTTTAGTATATGATGATAATAAATTTTAATAATGTTTTGAAATGAAAAAAGTGATTTGTCCTAACTAATGTTGATTAATTAGGTAATTTGGGTTAGTCAATTAGTAGTCTAATTAGCATGCTATATGACAGATCAGGAATATTTCGAATTTCGACCTTGTTGCGTTTCGCTTGATTGTATGGTGGACACGTTTTTCAAAATTTATTATTATTATTATCCTCCATGTATATAATTCGAGCTTATGTGGCTGCTTCTGGTGCTTCGAAATCCTATTTGGCGAAGAATCATGCTTCGTAATTAGGTTTGGATAAATAATATTGATATATTAACAATTAATAATCTAGGTTCGGGTATTCCATAAATATTATTTAGCTAATTTAGGTATTTTAATATCACTTTTACTAATATAACCCTTTAATTCTTTGTAATTTTACATAGTGAGGCACTAAGTGACTAATATATCCCTGAATTTTGATTTGTTTCCTTCAATAAGCTATTGAATTATAAATGTATTTTAAAAGTTGATAAATTTTGTATTTCTTATCGGTTTTACATATATAATATATCAAATTAATCATCTTTTGATAATCTTCGATTTGACATCCATATTGTATATATATGAAATAAATAAATTATATTTATATTTATAATAATCAAAAATAATAATATTTATTGAAATTCATTAGAAAAATAAAATTAATTTTCAATTGATATATTTATATATAATGTAGTTATATATTGTAAGTTAAAAAAATTAGTATAATATAACACAAGTAAATTGCACAAATAAAAAGTGTCATAATAAATATATAATAATATATATATATTCTTATAATTATAAGGTATTTAAATTTTCAAACTACTTTTTCTCATTAATTTTAGATTTTAAGAAAAAAATTAGCAAGCACCAATGTAATACACGGATGTTGTACTAATTATTATTATTTTTGAATTGCTGATATTTTATTTCTTATCTAATTATGTGTGTAATCATAAGGGAAAATGCATCAAATTTGGAATTTGAGCCCACATATAGTGACGATTTTGAGCTGTTAAATAAAATAAGCGGTTTGAAAACTCGACTTGACTTGACTTGTTTGATAAACGAGTTATTCTCGAGTTCAAGATTATGTTAGACTTGTTAAGCTTGATAAATATGTACCTTTTTACGTTATATTTGAAGTTTTTATCATATATCAAGCTCGTTATGACTCAAACTCATATCGTTGAAACTCGTTAACTCCTTGAGGTCAAGCTTATTTGTCAGCTGGTTGACCTAACGAGTCAAGCTCTAGAATTAGAAACTTGAGTTTGATATGATACTCGAGCTCAGCTCGTTTATATCTTTTAAGTACAAACCCGTCTATAGCTCAACTCGAGTATCAAGGATATTTATGTATTCTATCATCCTTAAAAACTTTAATATTGTAATGCATGCCCCTTATAAAATTAAAGAAATAACGAAAATCAAAGCTGCACATTATTGATTATTATTAAATTATTATTTCATATTTTAAAATCTTTAATTAGGACTAAAGTCTGTGAGAGTCCAACCTTTTCATTTGTTTTATATTGCCATATGCGAGACATTTTTTTTTCCTATTTTTAATTTGCCTATTTAAATTCCATATAATTATATGGGTATATATTAAAATATATAGCGCATGTCATTATTTCCTCATGCTAATTAAACTTAATTAGGAGGCGTCATTGAGTGTTTTGACTAATAATAGGACATGCTTAATTAGTTGTGATTGACTTTTTTATTGTATCATATCATAATCGCAATTAATTAACACGGTGTTTGACTAAGTTTATGAAACATATATACATAATGTAACAAATTATTTAGTAATAAAAATAAGCAAAATTTTTAATAAATATAATAATATATATGATAATTAATTTTGGAACAGATGATATTGATTATTTAATAATAAAAATCTGCCCATATTACTATAACTTGATGTGTCTGGGCATAATAATGATTATTTAATGAACTCTTTCTATAATTGCAAGAAAAAAAAATACAAATCACAATTTCCATATGTTGTAATTAAGTTATTAAATATATTTTGCAATTTTATATAAGAATAATATATGTAGAAGAAAAGAGATACAAAAAAAACTCGTGTTTTCAAATTTTCCGACAAATGATGAAAACATGAACCTATGTCAAATTCGGTCACATGCTTTTCAAAATTTAAATATTAAAAATAATTAAAAAAAAGTCAATTAATTATTTAATTAACAATATAGTTGACATGGAAATTAATATTAAATTAGTTGACTCCGTAGAAGCATGTATTTATCCACAGGAAAAAATGTCAAAAATCATAGTTATATTAGATGAATTTGCATCCGCTTTATTATATTAATCAAGAAATATAGATCACATAAATTTGAGTGTTAAATTTTAAATGATTAGCTTCTTTATTTAATTGTATTTCTAGAGTTTAACAAAATTAGAGACTTTAAATTTTCTAATTACTTTAGAATTAAATCTTTTAATATTTAGGGTTCATTTTCAATTTTCAGGGCCATTTTATCCTTTACTAATTTTAATTCTAATTTATTTTAAGATAGACATAAAATATATTAAATGATATGATTATATTATATGTCCAAAACCTAATTAAATTTAATTGCACCGATAAATCAGTGTTAAGACATTTTCTTAAGTCAAAATAATCATGAAAGTATATTTAGGCATGAGATTTATGAGCATAATTATCATTAGGGCCTAGAGATCAATCTCACAATCATAACACGAAAATCAATATGATGGAAATATTAAGTTAAGATAAAGCTTAGGATCTTGATTTTTAATTAATTAGAATCATAATGAGTTTTGCTTTTCATGCAAAAAGATTTAATTATTGAGCATCCATATTATATACTATCAAAGAAGTTTCCTTTATATAATTATATACTCTTGAGGGAGAGCTTTGCCACCCTTGTGGTCCTACCCGGCTCGATTCCGGATTAGTCGGCTCCCCTGTGGATTCGGAAACCGGAAGGTCCCTGTACCAAAAAAAAAAGAAGTTTCCTTTATATAATTA